TGGTGTACACAAGTAGAGGTTCTGCAACACCCGGCTATAGGGTGTTTTTTGACTCATTGCGGATGGAATTCGACGGTAGAAAGTTTGGTTTTTGGTATGCCACTTGTGGCATTCCCATTGTGGAGTGACCAAATTTGCAACGCTAAGCTCATTCAAGATGTTTGGAAAATTGGGGCGAGAGTGAAAGCTAATGAAGACGGCATTGTTGAAGCTCGTGAGCTGAAGAGGTGCATTGAATGTGTAATGGGAGAGGAAGGAGTTGAGCTAAGAAAGAATGCTATGAAATGGAAAGAATTAGCTAAGAGTTCCATGAAAGAACATGGATCTTCATATTTGAATCTTAAAGCTTATGTGAATGACGTTCTTCTTAATTAAGAAGTCACTTTTGAGGGACGAAATAAACTCGCAACTATTAGTTGAGTAAATCCCATTGTTGTATGCATTAATGATGTTCTTCTTTGGGGCAAGAAGGCACTCTTCGAATTGTGACAGAGCATAGTTATTTTGTATGCATTAATGATGTTGTTCTTAATTAATCTAAATTATTCAATTTTACTACTTTATATATATATATATATATATATATATATATATATATATATATATATATATAGGGTTGAGTTCAAATGAGGACAACAATATATAGAGGACTGTGAGGACAAATAATGGGCACACAACAAATTAATACCAGGCACACAACTTAATACATAATGGCACACAAGAATAAATGTAAACATCAGGTTTCGAACCCAGGCTCTATAAATTAACAAATCTAGCACGCGACATACAAACTGTGGCACACGACTACATTCAGCCATGCACACGACATACCAGGTAATGGCACACACTACATCTGTCCTCACAATTCTCTATAATACACTTGTCCTCATTTGAATACACACACACACACACACACACACACACATATATATATATATATATATATATATATTATTTTTGAAAGGAGCCAGCTTGGCATTTATTCAAAGTGCGCTGAAATAAAGTTTGGTGGGACAGAGTCCCAGTTCATAGCAGAAGTCTGAGTAAAAGCAGTAGAAGCTAAACTATGAGCTAGGTAATTATCTGATCTAGGGATAAATTAAAACTGACTGAACAATACAAAAAAGCGGCAATACGAGTTCTGCAGTTATCAATGACATAACCAATATATGAACGGAATATATATATAGAAACGCGTTCCCGTGCGGTTGACCTACTCAAGTGCGGTTGTGTGGTTGCTTCGGTGCGTAATTTTCCTTCTTAACGTGCGTGATTTTCCTTCTTAAGGTGCGTGGTTTGTATGTTTAAGGTGCGTTATTTTCCTTTTTAAGATGCATGATTTGTATGCTTAAGGTGCGTGGGTTGTTGAAACTTAAGGTGCACTATTTTAAAACCTTAGGTGCGTGATTTGTGTTCTTAAGGTGCGTGGGTTGTGTACTTAAGATGTGTCGGCCTAAAGCATTAGGTGCACATGGTTTGTGTTCTTAAGGTGCTTTGTTTATGTGCTTAAGGTGCGTGGTTTGTGTACTTACGATGCGCCATTTTAATGTTTAAGGTGCGTCAACCGCACGGGAAGCTATACCCGCACCTGAACCCTTCCCTATATATATAGTCCATAATCGGGTGAGAACCAACCTTAACCTGCGAACTTGTGAAGGATTGCACCGCACCTAGATACGATTGCACCGCAAGGTCCTCTAGGCATATCTAGAAGTCATAGCAATGCAATCAAGTTGTAGTTGCAGTGCAATCCTTCACAAGTTCACAGGTTAAGGTTGGTTCTCACCTGATTAGAAGTCATATATATATATATATATATATATATATATATATATATATATATATATATATATATATAATTCAGTTTCCGTGCGGTTGGGTGTGTCCCACGCGGTTGTGAGATTAAATCTGAACCATTGATCATGCTTAAATGAACGTCCAAGATTAACGAAATTTTTATAAAAAAAAAAAAAAACGCGATGACAATTTGGTAATTTTTTATATCTATGTCAAATTTAAGGTGCGTGATTTTTGTGCCTAAGGTGCGTGATTTTTGTGTTTAAGGTGCGTGGTTTGTGTGGTTAAGGTGAGTAGTTGTTGAAACTTAAAGTGCGTGGTTTTCCTTCTTAAGGTGCGCGATTTGTATGCTTAAGGTGCGTGAGTTGTTGAAACTTAAGTTGCGCCATTTTAAAACCTTAGGTGCGTGGTTTGTGTTTTTAAGGTGCATGGTTTGTATACTTAAAGTGCGTGGTTTGTGTACTTAAGGTGCGTCGGCCTAAAGCTTTAGGTGCATGTAGTTTGTGCTCTTAAGGTGTTTTGTTTGTGTGCTTAAGGTGCGTGATTTGTGTACTTAAGGTGCGTCAACCGCACAACCGCACGGGAAGCTTAAGGTGCGTCGTTTGTGTACTTAAGGTGCGTCGGCCTAAAGCTTTAGGTGCGTGTAGTTTGTGTTCTTAAAGGTGCTTTGTTTGTGTGCTTAGGATGCGTGGTTTGTGTACTTAAGGTGGGCAATTTTAATGCTTAAGGTGCGTCAACCGCATAACTGCACAAGAAGCTATACCCGCACACGAACCCTTTCCTATATATATATATACACACACACACACAACATGAATGCACCCGAACCCTTCCCTATATTGCGTGCACTCATGTGGGGCAAATTGCACACACTCTATTATCTGTGCATCCATATAGTAGACTGTGTGCATTCATGTTGTGTCTCACAGTCTCATGGGAAGCAGATGGTGTGCTCAGGTGCGAACGTGGGGTGATAAGAGAGCCATTGATCTTGCCAAGATCAAAGTCCATGATTAACAAGCTACGAATTAAAAAAACGCGGTGGCAATTTGACCTTTTTGCATCTAGGTCAAATTTAAGGTGCATGGTTTTTGTGCTTAAGGGGCATGATTTTTGTGCTTAAGGTGCGTGGTTTTTGTGTTATGTGTTTAAGGTGCGTCAGTTGTAGAAACTTAAGTGCGTCGGTCTAAAGATTTAGGTGCGTGGTTTTCCGTCTTAAAACACTTGATATGTGTGCTTAAGAACGTCAGTTGTTGAAACTTAAGGTGCGTCGGCCTAAATCTTTAGGTGCGTGGTTTTCCTTCTTAAGGTGTGTCGTTTTCCTTGTTAAGGTGCGTCGATATAAAGCTTTAGGTGCGTGGTTTTCCTTCTTAATGTGTGTTGTTTTCCATCTTAAGGTGCTTTGTTTTTATTCTTAAGGTGCATTGTTTTCCTTTTTTAAGGTGCGCCATTTTTTACAGTTTGTTTTTTTAATTGAGGATGCACCTTTTTTTTCTTTTTTTTTTTTTAATCTTTTTTACTGTCCCAAAACACAACCACTATCCTTTTCCAATCATATTTTAGCAATCAGAATAGAGATCAAAGGAAGTAGAATTGCTTATGAGTAGCCAGTAGCAGATCCTGAACAATGCCATTTTTTTTAAAAAAAGTATTGATTTGAACGGTTGATTTAGATTTGACCAATGACTTAGATTTTTCCCTATCTTTCACATGAGAGCATCTTCGCACGAGAACCACTTCATATATATATATATATATATATATATATATATATATATATATATATATATATATATATATATATATATATATATATACATATATATATATATGTATGTATGTATGTATAGATATATATATATATATATATATATATATATATACATATACATATATATATATATATATATATATATATATATATATATATGTATATGTATGTATATATATATATATATATATATATATGTATATATATATATATATATATATATATATATATATATATATATATATATATATATATATATATATATATATATATAATCCTAATCATATGAGAACCATGTCCCAGGTGAGAATGTGAGGACAAATCTAAACCATTGATCTGTAAGATCTAACGGATGAAAAATCAAGTAAAAATGAGCGGGGTCATTTTCATATTGTGAATTTCGATCTCATCCATCATCTGAGCAAACTTGTGAAGTAATTTCCAAATTCGGAAATCGAAGTTTCGGAGCCCGTGAGATCCAGCTACCTTGGACCAGGGTTGTAAAAATCGATATAGGCGCCTCTAGACCGTGGCGATTTCTCCCCTAGGCATCCGCCTAGGTTACCGGCCGCCTTGGCGTCTGCCTAGCGCCTAACTCGGCCGATTTTGCCGCCTATCGTCTAAGTTAGTCGAGTTAACTTGTCCATTTCGGTCGAGTTAACCCGATCGGCTCGGCCTATTGTTCAATTATATATGTGTGTGTGTGCGCGCGCGCATACATATATATATATATATATATATATATATATATATATATATATATGTATATATATATATATATATGTATATATATATATATATATATATGTATATATATATATATATATATGTATATATATATATATATATATATATATATATATATGTATATATATGACATATATACACTCATAGACTAGTTTGATACTTAGAATCTTTGGATGATTAAAGTATTTGAGTATTTTTAATTTTTAATATTGTTTTAATGTTTTTTTTTTTTGAAAACCATGTTATGACTTATGAATTATCATTAATTCATTTATTTGGATGTGTTATTTGATTAAATGTTGAAAACAACCTCATTAAAATTGTCAAACTGCAAGTCTACCACTGTTTTTTTGGCGCCCGCCTAGCGCCTAGGCGTCGCTAGGCGCTGTCCGGGCGCCCGACTAGCGCCTAGCGCCTACTGCAACCATGCCTTGGACAAGATTACCCATTTTTTATCTTGAAAAAAAAATACACTGAGTATCTCACGAATCTCGTTAGCATGTTAAACGATACACGCTCTGATACCAATTGAAAAATATATACTCAGTACACAAGAACTACAGATTAACTTATTCAGATTAGATTAATGAGACTGGAGCCCTATTATCATTTTCTTATAAGAGCAACATATAGGCAAAAGACAAAATAAAATGCAGGATGACACCAAGAGTTAACGTACGTGGTTGAATCCATGGGGCACTAGCCCAAATCAAGATCAATTTACTAAGCATATTTAAGTAGAATGACCCTGAAATTTACACAATACGATCACCTTCCCCGCATCTATTGGTACTGTTCAAGAGTACCGCTAGAAATTGATGATCACAAGACCCTCATGACGCAGAATCCTTTTTACCTTGAAAAAGTTGCAACACCAATTGCATCATACTCCCATCTAATCAATACATGTAAATCAAAAGCTCAATGACGGACTATAGTCCCATTGATGGAACACATCCCTTGAGTAGCCTTTCTGCATACTTGATGTATTCTCGATCTGTATGCTCCACACCTCTCTTTAGCGGCCATCACCCGTATATATAGCACTAAAAACCCTACTACATAAAATCTACCCCTTCCATATAAGCAACATGATTAACATAAACAAAACTAGGAAATGTTTCCAACCAGACATACAAAAGAAAGCATAGTTTTGTAAGAGCAAGGAAACAAGAATATTTTGACAATAAACACGGCCAATGGCCCAATACACAAAAACTAACATTGATCTAATCTAAGAAAATATGAGTCTAAAAATTAAAATTGTGCGCTTCGCCTAGGACGGTGTCTATAAAGTTGTGTATCTATCAAGGACAAATTTTGAGTAGATGAATAGTCAAACACGAGAGGAAGGCTCATATGGATGTCAAGACCACCACATTTTTCATTTATTTCTTCTGGTCTCAAAGGTCTCCATTGTTGTACATAGGGACAAAGGACATTAACAACATGTCCCATATCTGGTCGTCCAAAAGATTTGTTTGCAGTGCAGTGAATTGCTAGCTCTGCAACCTTAGAAATGCTCTCAAATATTTGCTCATCATGATCAAGAGTTGGGTCAATAGCATTCCCAAGGTTATTCCTTTTTCTAATAATCTTGCGAAACCATGTGACTAAATGACACATTTCATTGGCCAACGTCTCATCGACAGCTTTTTTACCCGTGATTAACTCCATTAAAACAACTCCGAATGCATAAACATCTACTTTTTTTGTGACTCGTCCCGTAGCTGCTAGAAACACATACAAGTATAAGCAAGCATTATAAAATATGGTAGTTGTAGGGTGAGTAGATGATGAATTTTTTTTTTTTTTGAGGAAAAGATGATGAATTATTTAAATTGACAAAAATTATATTTTTTGAGTTACATTTAGAACTAGTTAGATATATTCTTTTAAGTGAGAATAACCACTCATTTATCACCCACATTTTAAATGGATGGATAACAACCTATTTAGCAATATATAGTTAGGGGTTTAGGTTAAAAATGGCAAATTATACAATTGGCTATATAGTCCATATTGCAAGGTAGATCACTTATACAAGTTTATTTTTAGTATACCACATATTTATTTTTAATGTACTACATGTTCATTTTTAAGTAGCACACTAAAAATAAACTTACAGTACATTAAAAATAAATATATAAAGGAATAAGGGTCTAATAGGTCATCGAACTGCACACGATAATGCAATTAGACCACAGAAAATAAAAAAATAACAATTGAGTCCCTAAACTAACCAATTTTATTCAATTAGTCTAATTTACAGGTTTTTCGGGTTACTAACAGGTCACCCCAAATTTATTTGGTTTTTTAAAAAAAAAAAAATTATTATTTAAAATTAATTATTTTTTTTAAAAAAAAAAGTCTCCGCTGAGACGAAGAAACTTTTAGACTTTTTCTTTTTTAAATAATTATTTATAAATAATAATTTTTAAAAAATATTTTAAATATGGGATGACCTGTTAGTAATCTGAAAAAGTTTAAATTGGACTAATTGTATGAAATTGATTAGTTTAGAGACTCAATTGTTATTTTTTTAGGTCCAGTGACCTAATTGCATTATTGTGTGCAGTTCGATGGCGTATTTAACCCTTATTCCATATATAAATATATATTTATGATAAAAATAAATATATATCATAAATATATGGTGACTTGAGACTTCTTTAAACTTTATGTTATATTTTTCATTTAGTAGTTTGCTTATTTTTCTTCAGTTAGTACTTTGCTTAGTTGATGTCGTTGTGCTAGGATTTACTTTAATGTTGATTGTATTGCACTGTTACTCCGATCCCCTTTCTATTTAGTAGCATCTATTTCTTATTCTCATTTTGTGCTCTACTAATTATCCTTGATTATGTTGTTGTATGTGCCTAGCAAGGAGAACAGATAGCATTTGATTGGGTTTTAGGGGCTTTGGTTGATCGGGATTGACTGAATCGTGGGGATTTACTTCTTTTGACCAACTCTTTAAGGGAGTCCCCTACATCCATTGTTCCCTATTCTTGCATTTTTGACCACTTGTCTTATTCATGTTCTTGTTTCTCGTGGCCCGTTCTCACTTTTAAAGTGTGGAAACCCCGACTCCATACACACTTCTAAAGTGTAGAAAGGGGTACCATTCTTTGAGCCACCCACCTTTTTCACCCCACACCCATGGGCTTGAACATCGAGGACAGTATTCGGTTTAAAGTATGGAAATGGTGCACTTTGTGCTTTATTGATTTTCATACTCTTGTAATGATTGTGTATTTGGATTGTGCACTTGAATTCAATTGCGTGTTGTTGTTCATTTTATCTTGTAAATCTGTGTGACATGTGTAGTGACAACCTCAATTTTTTGAAAATGTTTGAAAATTGCCTCTTTACACCATTGTGACGATTGCATAGGGCCCAAATAGATTTACATTTCTTGCATGCTTGTTTGAGGTTCAGTCCACCACTTCCATGGACGACCTCGGTCAAGGATATCTCAAAATGGGAGTGTACACGGGATGGTTTGTGAAAGTTAAGGTGGCAAGGCTTAGAATGAACTTTCTCGGTATACATAAGGCAAAAGGCCGGTGAAATTTTCTTATGGTGAGCTTGTGTGATTCTCTACTCCCAATGAAAAAGGCATGAAGGGATGGAAAGAAAGTCAATAGCCTGCGTGATGGAGCCCCTTTGTTCACCAATTTTCCTTGTCATGCAGGCCGTTACCGCGTGATAGCCTGTGTGACAAGGGGCAGAATTGCGGCTATAAATAGAAGCCTTGTTCTCATTAGCGAGAAAAATCTAGATTTTTACATTTTGTTCAGACTTGTACTTTAGATTTTAGAGAGAGAATCCTCCCTGGGGTTCTTGTAGCAACTTGACATGTTGATCTAATGATTCTAGGGAGATTCCAACTACAATTGATTTGAGATTTGCTTGGAGATTGAAGATTGTTCTTGAAGCTAAGTTTGTTTATTTCATTCAATTACAATTTACTTTTATTCCAAATGCTTCCATTGGTTCTTCATCTTAGCTATTCTATTGTGACAATGTCTAGCTAATTCTTAGGGAATTAGGAATATGTTTACTTGTTAGGATGCTAGAATGTTTTGATTGCAATTATGAAGTGATGACTTGATGCATTGATTTGAATTCTTGTTGGGAGTGAACTTTGTATAGACTTTTGTATAATGACGGCTGCATTATACAAGAGGTCTAGGAGGTGTGTAGCCACCAAGAGATTGAGGCTACACTATAGCTTACTCCACTTGCATTTTCCGCCTTGCACCGAGAGGTAGGGTTGCTATGAGAGTAGGGTTCTACTACTTGATAGCCCAAATAAACCTCGAGAGTGGCTTGACAGTGGAAACATCTTCCAAGAATCATGATCAATGCATTACATTACTTCATATACTTAAGGCCGTTCTGTTGCATCCACTCAAGGAACACCTAGTCCTAGTCTCCTCCATCCACTTACTTGCTTCTCTACAATTATTTGTTGCTTTACTTTCATTTGTTACTTTGATAATGCTCTTTGTTTAGTCTTGAGATCTAGCTTCTGAGGCTCTTACGCACTTGTGCTTAGCCTCGCATTGTTCAATTCCCATTAACTATCCTCAGAGAACGACATCCCGGGGAAGCTTCACATTTCCCAACCGTTTTTTCCATCTCATGCATACTACGAGTTATCAAGGTTAAATAACATAATACACTCATACCCTTAAAGGTCATTTTGCATATTATTAGCTATCAACTATCAACTAACAGCTAAGTTATCAAACATCTTTCTACAACTAGCTAATGATATCAGCTAGTCAAACCCGCTAACCCAATCGGCTAACAGTTATTTGCCAAATAAACCCAAATTAAAGTATCTAATTTAATATTAATGTATAAAATTTATATATTTATAAAATATACTCCATTTGTCACATTTTATCTATCTTATTTACTATTCATTAGTCAAACCAACTCTTTCATCTTTGTTTATTTTCTTTAAAGTATCTTTAATTATTTTTAAATTTGATTTTTTTTAATGTTTAATAATACTTTTAGTGTAGTTTCGAAATATATAAATTTTGAACACTAATACTAAACTTAATATTATGAAAAATCAAATTAAAATAAATCCAATCAAGTCTTGTTAACCGAATTAGACACATAAAATGGGATAGAGAGAGTATTAAAAATATAATTAAACACAAAATATTTAATTTAAAATTTATAAAATCGAAAAATAAGTAAAGCAAGAAAAAAGGGAGATTTTATTTGGCCAAGACAGATAAAATGAGACAAAAGTACTTACTAGCATACTCTGGTGCAAGATAACCAAATGTCCCAGCTACTCGTGTATGAACTGAAGATTTGCCATCCAAAGTCATTTTGACCAACCCGAAATCCGCAACCTTGGCTCTCATGTCATTGTTGAGAAGAACATTTGAGGACTTTATATCTCTATGAATAAAACTTTGACGAGCCAAGTTATGAAGATACTCAATCCCCCTAGCCACATCTAATGCAATTGTTACCCTTTGATTCCAAGTTAGAGGACCAAAGCCTTGCTTTTGCCAATCAAACAAATGATGAGCCAAAGTACCTTGTGGCATGTACTCATACACCAAAAGCCTCTCGTTTTCATTGATGCAATAGCCAAGCAATGTGACCAAATTCCTATGCCTAACATTGTTCAGAAATGAAATCTCTGCTTGGAACTCATTCATTCTTTTCGTAAGTGTTCCTCCATCTTTCATCCTCTTCACAGCAATTTTAGTTTCATCATCTAATTCACCCATGTAAACGACTCCATATCCTCCGCTCCCTAACACATTCTCTTTACTGAAAAAGTTGGTCGCTTTTTCAAGAACTTGGATTGGAATAGCCACGATTCCAGTTTTTTTGGCCGGAAATGTTTTTTCCCCGGTCTGATTGTTCGACATCCGACCATCTTTCACAAATAGGCCTTTCCTCCAGGCGTGGCACTTGTAACACACAACCACTATGAGAATTTTGAGCACAACAAAAGCAAAAAACAATATAATAGTTTTAGTAGCCAGGCCGACTGTAAGAGAGTACGTATACCCATTTGAATTGCTGGGAGCCTCAGAATTCAACACCGTATCAGGTGAACCACCACTCTCTGGGTCACTGGAGCTCACATTCTTCCCAAGAAATAAGTTACCATCAATAGAAATCTTTACAGCAGGTGGAAAAGAGGGTATAGGCCCAGACAAATTGTTATTAGAAACGTCAAGGACTTGAAGATGAGGCAAAGTTGTCAAGGTTTCCGGAATTGGACCGGTAAGATTATTATCATTCAAATACAGGTTCCTCAATGAAGTCAATTTCGAAAAATATGGTGAAATAGTACCTGAGAAACGCTGATTTCCAAGATTCACAGTAGTCACATTCTTCCCCTGCGAATCACAAGTGATAAATGCCCAGTTCAGCTGGCATGCATCATTTCCTTTCCAGGATTGGGCAAGCGTGATTGGATATCCAAGATCATCAGCAATGGCAAGAAGCGCAGTGACCTGTGGATCACAAGGTCCAGGTGTATCCTTACAGAAACTATTAGTATCCCCAAGAGTGGCCTTCACCTGATTGCCAAACAGAGGCATAGGACCCAGCAAGGCGTCGCCGGAAAATGAAAGAGAGACTAGGCTGAATAAGAGTAGTAAGCAGAAAAAGAAAATAGATTTTGTGCGTGGTGTTCCGATCGTTGGTGGGGGAAGCATGTTTGCTTAGTTTGCGTTTGATGATAGTATAGTCACATGCCGAGTTGTAATATACAATTTTCTTTTTTGGTAACTCCTAATTTTCTAGTTATAAAATTATTGCAAGTTTTATAATTATTGGAAAGAGAAAATTACATTTTTGGTCCAGTGATTATTGTGGTTTGGTTAATTTCAGTACTTGACTTTAAAAACTAACAATTTAATTCTGTAACTATACAATTTTTAACACATTTGGTCATTCCGGTCAAATCACCGACCAAATAACGCCGAAAAATGTAACCCTTTTTAAATTATTTATTCAAGGGGACAAAACGGTCAATTTAAATTTTTTTTAAAAAAAAAAACTATAATGGCTTTAGGCCTCGCCGTCCCTCGCAGCACGCCGCAGCCGGTGGCCCAAATGTTCCTGACAATGGCGGCGCGTCCGATGAGGCCCAGAATGAAACTTTCGATGAGGTCGACAATGGCGGCGCGTTTGGCTTTTCTAGGCTCTCGCACCCCCAGCTCGTTGCCCACTCTAGTGGAGACGCTAAAGCTAAGAGAAGACAGGAAATGTAGATCAAAGAAGTGGTTTGAATCAGATTCTCCATTCCCATGGCTAAGCCGGAGAGGATGAAATATCCGGTGATGTTGGCGAAGCTGACGACGAGAATCATGGACAGAGCAATCTTGGCTATCAGGGGCGGAGCCACCTGAATGGTGCAGGCTGCAGGGGCCCTAGCCCTCCTCCCCCCCACCCAACTCTCCTCCAAATTATTTTAACTATTAAAATTTTTTGGTGAAATTTGGCCGGAGTGAACAAAATTGATAAAAGTTGCATAGTCAAGATACTAAATTAACACTTTTGAAAGTCGTGGACTGCAATTAACAGGATCTTTATAGTCACATGACCAAAATTGAAATTTACTCAATTTAAAATATAATATTTAAGCAAAATTTAAAATTTAAAAATATATAATTTTTAATATTTTAAAAATAAAATGTAATATTTTTTAGTTTTCTTTATAAATGCAACATTACTTTTTTAAGGGAAAATATAATACTTTTGATGAAAAAAATAATACTTTTACATAAAAATATAAAAGTATAATGGATTCCCTTATAAGTAACAAACATTTAATTCCTACTTTAGTACGTATAACATTTGCTAGTATAAGTAGTATTACATTTGCAAATTGACTCGACTAGACCCGTTCCGTCTCACAGAAGCGGTCTCACACAAGTGTGTAACTATTGGCAAAACCTTGTGTGAGACCGTCTCACGGATCCTTATCCGTGATATGGGTTGGGTCAAAATGAAAATGTAACACTTAATATGTTGAAAAATGTAATACTAATCAGGAATAAAGTGTTTATTATTTATATTAGAAAGTGTAATACTTTTATATTTTGATTTAAAACTTAAAAGTATTACAATTTTCATCAAAAGTATTTACATTTTTCTCAAAAGTATTACACGTCCCTTTATAAGTAACAAAAACTTTATTCCTAATTAGTATTACATTTTTCATTATAAGTATTATATTTTCATATTGATCCGATCTGACCCGACTCGTCTCATAGATAAAGATTTGTAAGACGATCTCACACAAGTGTGACTATGGCAATTTATATCCTGCACCACGGTGCGCGTTGCATTGTGCGCCCAGATGCAAAACGACGTCGTTTCAATTATTATTATTATTTTTTTTTTGAAATTTCCCGCCCCAGTGTTTGGCAGTTAATTTTTCTTTAAAAAAAAAAACCCATGTTCAAAAATGTACATAATGTTATACTAGAATACACATAATTGTATACATGAATGTACATAATTATATAACAAAATATACATACTCTTTTTTAAAAGATAATACACATAATCTAACATAATACATAATAAACATAAACTTTTAACATAATACACATCAACTCTTAACATAATACACAAAAATTTCCTGATTCGGATGTACATAATTGTATAAAAAGAATGTACATAATTGTATAAAAAATGTACATAATTGTATGAACAAATATACATAACCACAGCAACTTCCTACCGCACCTCCCAAAACGACGTCGTTTTGGGAGGCGCACGACGCACAGTGTTACGCGCGCCGTGGTGTAGGGTATAACAATTGGTGTGACCACTTATTAAAAACATATACATAAATTCCACCTATCAAAATTCCCCACATCCATGTATATGACATTTTAAGTACTCATCGCGTTTGACTCTTTCATATCTTCATTTCCAAATTAAAATAATCTCAACAGTATATTCCAAGATATTTGTGCCAAAAAATCAACAACCAAAAACATATACATAAATTCCACCTATCAAAATTCCCCACATCCATGTATGACATTTTCAAGTACTCATGGCGTTTTGACTCTTTCAGATCTTAATTTCCAAATTAATATAATCTCAACAGTATATTCCAAGATATTTGTGCCAAAAAATCAACAACCAAAGTAGTGTATGGACCACAAATATAAAATATATTATTTATTTACATAAATATATTATTTGAGAATTGAATATATACATTATTTTGTATATTGTAATATCAAATAATGTACATTAAATATACAAATAATGTGTTTTTAGTATATTAAAAATATATTTTATAATCATAAAAAGCACATTATTTGAGCATTGAAAATATATTATTTCATATATTATCAAATAATGTATATTCAATACAAAAAAAAAAAAAAGTATTTTTAGTATATTAAAGATATATCTTTTATCCATAATACATATAGCTTTGTGGACTGGTTCATAAAAAAACTTACTACTGGAAATTATGGAATTTCCGACCACCTGAAAGTGATCTTAAATCAATTCGAAAGTAAAAAGTGGTCGGAAATAGCAACAAGGATTTTTCCAATACCAAAAGTGGTCGGAACAAGGCTTTCGACTTGATTTAAGATCAATTTCATGTGGCCGGAATTTCATAATTTCCAGTAGTGAATTGTCATTAAAGCAGTTGTTGTCTTTGTTTGGATGAGGACCCAACCAATTGCGGGTCTTCCCCGACGAATAAAACAATTGGACGAAGGCTCAATTTGTCCAATATAGATTAAGACAGCAACTGTTGGTCTTCGTCCAGTGATTTTGGACATCAATTTGAACAGTCCTGTCACTCATCTACGAAAAATCAATGGCCATGGATATTGGAAGAAATCTAAAGAGTCAAGTACTTAAAAGAAATTTGTATACTAAATACCTGGTTCCATCTTATATTATGGATTATTCTAGTCTAAAATTACATTCAAATTATGTATTTACGCTTAACATTATGGTCTTGTTTGGTAAAATAATTAGTTTATTATCAGCTAAGTTTGGCTTATTTGACAATTATTAGCTATTTGACTTGGTTAAACAATCAACATGAGTGTTTGATTAATTGGTTTTTTGTAACAATTTTTTTGCTCTAAAATGCTAAAATTCAAAAACCCACTCAAAGTAGTTTCTCTGTTACAATGTAGTATCTTTTTCTCAATCTATTGAAGCACAAAGAGTCAATACCGCCCCCACGGGGAGGGATTCATAACCTTTTTTTTTGGGAGAGTCACTCCATGCCACTTAACCACAATGTCATTCGTCTCTTTAGATTTTTATAAATTTGTAAAAGTCTATAAAAGTTTGTATGACATATAAAATTTTAAAAACTTTTTCATGTTAAATAGCCTACAAAAGTTAACTCTAAATTGAATATATACCCTTACAAACTTTTCATAACTTTTATTGATATACTATTTACAATGTTCTTACAAAAACTTTGTGATTACATCCCAATCAAATCCAGAATTATAACGCTTAAGCTCAAAAAATTTTGTTAAAACAATTCTTAAATCATTTCAATTGACTTTGGTATTGTCATATGATCTTTGAGACACAAACTTTTCATTAAGAATTGAAAGTATTGAAAGTATTGAGACACAAATCAAATTCCAACTAGACGAGATTGAAAAAGACTTGATTCAAGCCCGAGCTCGTGTGCGCCGGCACCTGCGGGCACGAATGTCGTCCGGCTAAGTGAGCCGAAACTAAACAGCAGCAGCAAGTTTCAGCCATATACAGCCGAAACATGTCCAATACTTTGGGCCGAAACTGGGTAAGGTCGAAAGTTGCAAAAGGCCGAAGGGCCGAAACTGGGTAAGGTCGAAAGTTGCAAAAGGCCGAAACTGGGTAATGTCGAAAGTTGCAAAGTTGAGACTTAACAGGGCCGAAACTGGGTAAGGTAAGTTGCAAAGTTGAGACTGAACCCTGTACAGGGCCGAAACTGGGTAAGGTCGAAAGTTAAGACTGAACCCTGTACGCCAACGGTCTGGAACCCGAAAGTTCTGACTGTTATGGGGATTGAATTCATCTGTTACGGAATTAATATCCTATTAACTCCAATTTTGAATTCTGAATTCAATTCCCAGGTAGTGGCCTGCTGTTATAGCTGTTGGAAGGCAGCTTTAATGTCATTTTTAATTGCCATAATAAAGGCTATTGGCTCCTTCAACCCTATATAAAGAGGGTAGAGGCAGTGGAGTTTTACACACAGAAAATAGAACACGAAAGTTCTTCTTTTTAGCCTCAAAACCTCTCTGCTTCTACTCCTTCTTTAGCCTCCTGTGTTCATAGCCGTGTCTTGCTCGCCGGATTCCTTGTTTGAGTGCTCAAACATTGAATCACTAGCAAGTTTTATCCTGGGAAGCCTAGGCCACAACGCTCCAAGCATCTTTGGGAGGTGGCAAATAAGGTTTTAAGGAAAGAGTGCTCACTTGACTCTTGCAAAAACCCAACACCAGACACTAGCCAAATTTCTTCATCTTTTCTTCCCTTCTTTCCAGAAAATAATAGTCAATTTTATTTGATTATTATTTGTTTTCCTACCAACGATTCCTACAGTCTTAAAACCTTATACCTTGTTTTCCCGTTGCTTGTTTTCTCTAATTTCCTTGAAGAAAATGGAGCATCCCGTACTGCCAATTGATGGGGAGTATAATGTTGTTGCGGACAACAA